TGACTTTGAAAACCTGTATTATAATCTTGCTCTTAGTTAAGATGTCCTATCTACCATCTCAGAAGTGAAAAAAAAAGAAACTAACGATTTCCCACTTTCTCGTTTTCCTTCGATTAGTTTAGAATATTCAGTAATTATCTCGTAACAGCTTGTATAATTGTGGCTTTCCTTATAAACTAAAAGAAAGAGTAACTTGAAATATTTCAACATTATTTGAAAAGTAAAAGAATATTAAGCAGAACGTTTTAAGTAAGAAAATATCGAGTTGCATATTTTTCCTTGAATGCGCAGGTATTATCGACTAGTTCCTTCCAATGTAGATAAATAAAAGTTTAGTGGAGTGCGATTTGGTGGAAACGATCATGATAGCGCTAATGCGTATCCTCGATTTGCGCAGAGAAAATGGATGGATAAATTATTGCCAACATATACTGCCCGTGTTCCTGCAATTGGCATTCTAGTTATATATGGCGAGCTTATTTGCAATTTACCTAAGATTACAAAATGGCCAAGTATGTAATTAGCCGATGATCAGCAAAAAAATCTCTTATTAACTTCTTTTTATCCCTACTTTCCCTTAACCCTCTGTAACTGGATGTTTCCTTGTTTGTAAAACAAGTAAATTATAGTATATTATAATTTTCAATTTTGATGGGAAAGATAAGAATTAATAACTAGCTGAAACGGATGGCTCGTTAAAACTGTAATAATAAAAGGTTAAAATAAATGCATACAATAATAACAAGAAAACTAAGAACATAGATACACATGCATATAACGTTTAAATCGCACGTTGTTAAAAATGGACGACTCCTATTTTTAGTGTCATGATTGCTTGGACTTTATCAACATTGATAAAAAAAAGAAAAACAGGTAGACAAATAGATTGTCAGTAAATAATCGCCACTGTAGAATTTGTTAACGATTTCCTGAGTATCGAAGTGTTTCGCCTAGATAAAAATTAGGTAGCATATTAGAACACGGTATTCTATACCTAGATAAGGAAAACGAGAACATTACTGCGCGTACAACTACAAACAGCTTTTGAAAGTAGTTTACTATACACGAACCAGTTCGCACCACTTAAACTAAGATATAACATGTAGAATGCAACTCAAATTCCAAAGAATTAAGATGAATTAATACCGTAAAACATCGTTCGATTCTAATATTGTGACATTCGTGTAAGCTTTCGTAATTCAAATTTGCTTTTAATTGTAGTCTCTTTTCGTTTCAAAAATTCTTCGAGCGAACGAGAGAGAAATAAAGAGGATGACTCGTGAACGTCCATCCCAAGAAAAGAAGCAGACGTTCATCCACCACATGTTGTCTTGTCTCAGTTTCTCTTCGATTATCTTTAAGGATCGATACCGCCAATCAAGAAACCCGTTTCCGCGGATCTTGAGACAGTGTTTTCACGGGGGTCCACGGCTAAGATCGATCTCGAGATCGCCCATCGTGGACCGTGAGAGGCGGCTCGACGCGTCGAATCTGTTGCGGGCTTCGCAAAGCACATCGCGGCAAAAACAAGGAAAACGGCTGGCTTCATTAGCATACCGTGTCTGGATCTTTCCTCTTCCCTTCCTTTTACTTTTTCTTTCATTTTTTCTGTTTTTTTTTCTTTTCCTTTTTACGTGGGGACCTCATCGTTCCTCCGCGATTCTCGCCACTTTGATAATTTCGACGGCTTCGCGGCCATAATTTTTTCCCCGCTTCCTTCTTGGCGAGTACGCCGAATTTCGTAATGTGCTTTACTCACCGCGAGAAACTGGCTTCGAAAAGGAGGACGCGTGTTCTGGAGTCTTGTGGGGGAGGTACGTAGGAGGTACTTGAAGACACTCGATCGTAGAGAAGGGATAAAAGATTATATTATATTATATTAAAAGAAAGAAAGTATTAATACGATTGGGATGCGGTAGAAAACGTTGTTTGGCCTGGGTCACTTTATTTTTAAATCATTTGTTGGGTCGTAAAAATAGTCAAATACATCTTAACATTCTTCACGAGATACGATGGAGAAGAATATATACATATAACTTCTTACGAAAGAAATATCTACGATCTTAAGAGGATTCGAAAAATACGATAATATCTTCTGATGAATTAGATTTGAGTTAATTTGGAATAATTTGAACAATTTGAATTTCAATAGGTATACGATTTAAATCATCGTGTCAATACTATTTCCCGCTCGATAAACTGAATCTTGCATACATTGAATTTCAAAAACCAAAATAATTTTGTATTCTGCATCTGCATTCAATAATTCTGCACAATCCAGACATAACATGAGTTCAGAAAATACATTTCTTTTTTCTTTCGGGGGAAAATCGAAAAATTCCTTAACGGTGATCTAACGTATTTTTTTTTTTTTAGATCGGAAAAGATTTATTAATAGAATTGCACTCGAATTGTGGTATGCTTATAGAGTTTCTTCGTTGTTCACTGAAGGCTTTTTCGACGAACTTACCAGTCAACTTTTGTTTTCCTTCTACTGAAAGTCGTGGTATTAACTAGATAAATATGTAAATTTATTCACCGTGGTAATTTGTCGCACGCATGACTGCTTAATATTTAATCCACGAACGCAACCACGGACCGGCGATAATGTTCACGCTACGAAATTGTAAATTTGGCAAAGGAGCTTGTTAATATTGTCGCGTGCGTCGCTTGTTTTCGTCCTTAATTTAAATTATGTATTTTCCATTTCTATTTCATCATTTTCTTCTCGTATCATGCTTAGAGATTGACGAAATCGTCGCATGGTTGCTTATTCTTCGAACAATCGCGTTCTATTCGTTCGTTAGTCGACTAGAATGCTGCCGATCGCGAGATTAGCGTTGAACTAAAGACCAACGACACGCGAATTTTTCATGAAAATCTAACACGCGATAAATATTTTCTATTTCTATATTTGTACAAGAAAAAAATTTCTTTCGGAAAATAGAAAGTTAAAGAGAAACTGTCTAGTTCGCATTCTAAAACGCATAAAAGTCTACTAATAGCATATAATATACCTAAAAAATGTTTATGATATTATAAATTGGTAATTAAGAAAGTGCGACGTAATATTCATACCATGCACTTCCAACGTGAAAAATGGTTTTCAACGAAAAAATCACTTAATTCTCTTCTAATTACCCTAAGCATCCACTATGAAACTAATTTAATATAAGACTAGAACAAATTAAAGCAATTTCCCATTCTCAATAGCTAGTGGTCACGTTTAGATTTTTATAAACAACTCGAAAATAATATGGAAACGAATCAACGAGTAACTTGACTAAATACAACGATAATTTCAAAACATGGACGCGGTTTTGCTCTAATTTTACTTATTTTATTCGGAACTCGGCGAACACTTATGTAACAGTCGCAAGCCATGATTAATCAGGTCTGTTTGCATATTAGACAGAAATATTAATTAATATACTATGACTGTGACTATTTCTTGATCGATAACCGATATGATTCTATTGGACGTTTACATTTACGGACGCTTACAGTTTATGGTGGATTTTGCGAACGTATAAATTAAACGCGTAACAAACGACTATTTGAAATTTTCTTGTTGCACGCACTGTAAACACGGATATTAGCGATTTTTGTTTGAATTGTTGCCAGTTTTCCGCTGCTTCACATCACTCACGCGGACGTTCGCATCCGCAAATCGATTACACGCGTACATCCGCTTCGTACATTCTACGATCCTAATTTTTGCTAATCCGACGATTACTAAGCTAACGAACAGGTTGTATTTAAAGTGTCGTTGCATACTCATCCCTATATCTTCTTGTAATTGACACGAACGAAAATTAGGAAAAACATAATGTAAAATAACAGGACGGTAATTGGCTAATAGATAACATTTTTTTCGTTCGTTTTCATCATTTTTGCTTATTATGCATATATATATATATGTATGTACATTGCATATGTGTCATATGCAAGACTATTCGAATAGTTAGTTTTATTTCTAGTTTTATCATAAGTGATAATGTAAAAATTTCATAGTGAAAATTTTTACATAGTTTAACATATTCTCTACTCGTACAGAAGAATGTATTTTGTGAGAATTTCAGATTTCACGATACAAAAAAATACTTTCAAGATATTAAATCAGTGAAACATATCACTTAATTGAATCTCTCAGTTCGAATATTAGGCACTCTGTAACAATTAAAATATGGTACTTTTCTATGGAGTTTCAAATTTTAGTATTAGCTTTTAGTATTAGTTCCATTTTTCCTCTTCATCTTAATGTAGCTTTTAAAATTTATCAAGAACCATAGCTGGGACGTTACATAATCCCCAAAGAATTTCAATGCAACATTTCTTTCACAGAACAAAATTCGTTATTCACAGAACTAATAAAAATTACATGTAACAAGTGTAGTTTTCGTGCCTGATGACAAACATGGTTAACTGTGTATAAGTTCAGAAACTAGTATAACCCGGTTATATAAATAACGAATGAGTCCCCCGTCCTGTTAAGGTGCAATTTGCCTATCAGCAAACAAAACCGGGCAGGAAAAAACAAGAACAATGATACGACACTGGCAATAACGTGAGAAGTAGTAACTCACGTTTATAATCTATATCATCACGACTAGAAGCTTCTTTTCTCTCACTGCAAACTTTATTTCTATTCAATTTTATATAGTAAAGACAAATGGAAGATTGCTGTGGCGACAGCAATCTGTTTAAAGCGAAGACTAAACACAAAAAAAAATACACTTGCCTGAATACTTTATCGAAATATCCACTGAACAGCAGCTGAATCGAACGACGAGAGATTCTATTTAATTTTAAGTTTCGTTTCTCCGGCGGTGAAAAAGCGCGAAAACAAAATTTACGAGAGCTAACCAACGACATTAACGTACGCGAACCATTTAATGATACGTCCAAAGAATATTTACGCGAGTTCGATTCCCGTGTAAATTTCGAGTAGGTAAGGAGTGGGTGTTCTGCTCTTGACAGACGAAAATGACGACTTTGGATACGGTTCCATATAAATAGCATTGTATTTCACATACCTCGTGTACACTTTCAATAAATATCTTTCAAATAGTATGTACATAATGACAGGAGAAAAGGGACAGTTCGATCAGAGAAGGAAATTAAGCATAACCCGTAACCGATGACTCTGCCGTAATTTTTCATTCGTAACTTCATTTATAATCATAAATAATTTTAGATTTACGTCGAATCACTTGTTTCTTCCTCGAATGTTCGACGGTGCCTTTAACATATTTTAATTAAAACGAAACGATATAACAACGGAATGGAGCAACAAATCGAGTAACACCGGTTAAGAGTTAGGTATCGTTCGAGTATCGTAATTCAACATAGCTGCCGTCGGCGCGGCGACTCGAAACTAAAACGGAGACTCTCGGCGTATTTATGGCACTGGTTCGATCGTCCTCGGGCTTCGTGAATCACAAAATCACACACGCGTATTTTCTCTTTCGAGCACACACAGCGCAACTTGCAAACGAGATTCAAACTCTCTATAATGGCCGAGCAGCTTCTTGAAAATTCTTCCGGCGGTGTCCAGAAGTTTAGGTTTCCATTTCAACTCGCGTTTCCAATATATAAGATCGCTGAATGGAAAACGATCTTCTTTGATCTCAGCGTTTCATTCGATCGCTCCTTTGATTAATTCATAGAGCTCGAAATAGCAAATACTCCCTCGCTCTTGGTGATCCATACACATCAGAATTTTTCTTCGCTACAGCTTTTCCAGAGCTCGACTATTTGTTAATAGTTCCCTGGTGAGTCTCCACACTTGCTTCGCCGCGTTCTCTAAACCACTAGGCGACTTGCCCTTAAATAGATCCAAGTTTGGCAAAAAATAATGTGGGCATCTGCGACACTGCAGACAGGAGATCAGTTGCAAAAGAATGCCATTAATTCGATCTGCTATGCACGTTTCGTCCCATTCTGCTTCGTGCGGGTGTTTCTCGCACTCGTACAATAATAAGGTTTTCATATGATAGCTGGTAACCGGGTTCCCAGGTAGATCGAGATGTCTGTCCCTGAGAGTTTTCAAAATGCTTAAACAACGCTTTCTACTGCCACCCTGAAGCAAACGATTCTCCGCGTCTATGAACGATAACGCCCAGGCGTCGCCCTCCATAGCGGACTGTTTCCCTTGCAAACCAATGCACTCCTTCGACAACATGTCGAAGCCTTCTGTCTTCACTTCAGCCACGATATTAGGATGTGGCCAAGGTATATGTGCGATGGGCCAGTGAGAAGCTGACCTGGGCCACAGACCAGCGCATTTGAACGCTGGCGTAATTTGTACCACGTACCGCTCTCTGATTCGAAGTTTCACTTCTGTTGTATCTGCTATCATTTTTACCGAGTCCCTGTAGGCACACTTATCACAAGCCTGTGCTACCAGAGTTTGAAATCTCGAACGGATTTTCCGGGCGGACAGGTAGCCGGACGCGGTGATGAACTCCACCCAGAGGGACATGGATCGCTTTCGACCGTCGCTGAGCTTCAACACCGCGCATCCCGGCAATGTTCCATCGTCTACGAAATTCAGTACCCCCATTTGATTTAGGTAGATCACGATCTCGAATTCCGTCGGAGATATCACGTCCAGACCGTCGAAGCGACCATTGTAGTCGGTCAAAGAGGAGATGAACCTCGGCTCCTGTACCTCGACTTCCTTCAGAACGTCTTGAACCACGCGACACACTTCTTGAATCGTCTTCATCACCTGACTCTTTCTAGTCATCACGCGTTCTCCGAAGTACTTGTTGATTTGGTACACCATCTTGGATTGGGCCGACAGCATATCAGCCGGCAACAGCATCGCTGCGGCGGCCTGAAGCCTTCGAAGGCTTCTCTGTCGCGGTTGCTATTTTCTTTTACCGCATTCTGCCTCAAAACTTTCCAAACGATGAATTTTCTTGCGATTTTAATCGAAAGTTCTTCTTCGCTCCCTTTCCATTTGCTCCTCCGTCTTCCTCCTATCTCACTAGCTTTGCGTTTCAAGTCCAACTACTCGATACCTGAGAAACGAATCGAGAATTGACCCCGTTGGTTCTTGAAAAAAAATGACGATGTTCCTCGCGCGTCGCGTCGCTTAAGGACGCCGGTCCTTGCGGCGGAGACACGAACGAGCAGCGAGAGGAAAAGGTGTACGAGCGACTCCGTGCCGGAGCAGATAGTCGACTGCGCTGTCGTTCACCTCCTCCGCGCCACCCGCTCTTCGAGTCGTACGAAGACGTGCGGTGGCCTAGGTGGTCCCTCCGACAGGCTACGCCTTATACCGCGCGGTTCGACCAATCCCGTGA